CTCGACCTGCTGGGCTCTGGCGACCCTTCCGCCTCAGCCTTCCAAGTAGCTGGAACTACAAGAATGCGCTACCATGCCCGGTTAATTTTTTGATTTATTGTAGAGATGAGGTCTCACCAAGTTGCCATGGTAGGTCTAGAACCCGCGGTCTCAGGCAATTCACTCACCTCAGCCGCCCAAAGGCATGGGTTTACAGGCTGAGCCACCGAGCCCTATCAAAATTTCAATGATATTTTCTGCAAATATGGAAAAGTTGATCTTTGAGTAGCAAAAACAAACTTGAAAAAGAACAAAGTTAGAAGACTTATACTTAGCAATTTCAAAATTTAGTACAAATCTACAGTAATCAAAATACTGTGTTATGACCATAAAAACAGACAAATCAATACAATAAAATTGAGAGTCCAGAAACAAACCATACATCTACGATCAACTGATTTTCAACACAAGTGCTAAAATAATTTAATGGGGAAAAACAGTATGTAAGAAAATATTCAGAAGCCATATATCTGATAAGGAATCAATATTCAAAGTTTATAAAGGTCCCTACAATTCAACAAGAAAATAGCAAAAACCCAATTCAAAATATGCAAAGAAGTCAAATAAATACTCCTCAAAGAAGATACACAAATAGTCAAATAAGAACATAAAAATATATTCAATGTCATTTTTCATTTTGGAAATGCAAATCAAAACCATAATGATACCAATTTATACCCATTAAAAAGACATAATAGTAAGTGTTGGTAAGAATATGGAGAAATTTAAACACTCATACACTGCTGGTGGGAATGTAAAATGGCATAGCAATTGTGGAAAAAAATTTGGAACTGCCTCAAAAAGTTAAGCATAGTGTTACCACATGGACTAGCCATTCTACTAGTTATATACTCAAGAGAATAGTTGCATACTCAAAAGAAATGAAACATATGTCCACACAAAAAACTATATACAAATGCTTATAGCAGTGCCTATTCACAATACTCAAAAGGTGGAAATAGGTCAAATGACCACCAATGAATAAATGGATAAACAAAATGTAGTATATCTGTACATAGAATATTTTTCAGTCATAATAAAGTCCTGATATTTGCTACAGAATGAATGGACCTTGAAAACACAATGCAAAGTAAAAAGACACAAAAGGTCACATATTGTTTGATTTTATCTATGTGAAATATCCAGAATAGGCATATCCATAGTGACATAAAGCAGATTAGTAGATTCCAGGACCTACAGGAAAGTGTGAATGAGGAGGGACTTCTTCAAGGATATAAGGCTGCTTTTTGAGGCAATGATATCATTCTAGATTAGAGGTGACAGTTATACAAAACTGTAAATATACTAAAATATACTAAATTTGGGGAATACATTAAAAACCACTTACATGCACACATTAAAATGGTTAAAATAATGACTTTTATCTTAATTTTTAATGACACAAATGGTACCTGTCAGTAACTTCTACGAAACTGAGCAGTAAGGTATTAAAAAGGGCATTCAGTTCTTTCTGAAGTTGTTGCCTGACAGCAGTCCGGATATCATCTGTTTCTTCTCGTGCCTGTGTCTCTGTCAGAACCAGCAGGTCTAATAGTGGGTTTGGACTCTAAAAAATGAAATTTGTAAAAAATATATTTAGTCTCTAATTGAGTAATGTGTCATTTCCTATAAGGGTTTTGTTGCTAACCATGTTCTAGATTAACTAAGAGTTATAGTAGGTGAGGGTCTTTATACTACATTAGTATTGATGTTCTAAACTCAAAAGGTGTTTAATATATTCTCAATAAAAGGAAAGCAAATCATAGAAAAGTGAGAAAATTGAAACGCAATCAGAAAAACAAACCACATATATTTGACTGCACACAGATTTCCACTATTATATAATAGTACTTACTCTCCTTTTAGTTTCTGTGACAATAAAAAGAATTTTAGTTACATATTTTTAACAAACTCAGATTAAGAGAAAAAAATCCCCTACTATAACCATTTTTTTCTATTTAATGTTATTACCAATATTCCTGCAAAAGCATTATTTTAATATCTGATTGTTTTTCAATCATAAGAATTTACCACATCAATTCCTGGGTAATCAATGATTTATAATTTGAGCTGCGACACACAGTGTGTGCAATTCTGAAATTTATCTTATTTACAAATTATAAGCAATGAAATTCCTAAATGATAATAATAGTTATGTAATCATAATAGTTACAATCCTTTTGACATATAATACCAAACTAATCCTATAAAAAATGTACAAACACATATGACAAAGTGGATGCGAAAAGGCTAGCAAGCATCTATGGTAATCATAGATGTTAATTTGACAGGTTAGTCAACAAATAAAACTAATGCTTTGTAAAATGTTTCCTTCTAGAAAAATTGTAGTTAGATGAATAGAGATGGATGATTTCTAATAATACTGAAAGTAAAAAATGTTACATTAACCCGCATCATTAATAGAAATATAGCATATTTGTTAATCACCTATAATGTCTCAGGGACTGTGCTAAAAAGAGAAAGAGATAGGGTATCATTTAACTTTTTAATTAAACTACAAGATTCTCATTCTCATTCCCGTTTTATAGATGGGAAAAGAGATTTACAAACAGGTGAGGTAACTTATCTAAGTCATACAAAGAACAGAGCAAGAAGCATCTTACTCCACAACTAGTTAACCTTCCATCCTCAGCACTGTGTCACATTACTAGCACATATAATATATAAAAAGAGATAAAATCAAACTGTAATTACTGTTGTTAGAAAATCCTTCACTTACAGAACTCAATTAAAAATTAACTGCATTCTCATTAGGAAAAAGAAATGAAAAAAGAGACGAAACCTTTAAATTGCTTATGTAGTAGGTAGAATATTCTTCATCAGATACACACAACTATAAATAATATAATTGAGACCTTTTCAAAGTATTCGGGAAGAGGATTTTGCTTTTAATTTATTTTGTAATGTTTTAACATCTAAGCAATATTTTCCCCTACTTTATTTTATCTTGAGCAAGAAATGTTTTTGGATCAATTAAAATTACATAAAACATAATTGCAACCTCTATACATAAATAAAAGAATCAAGATACACATTTAGTAAATAATAAAAATAACTATATCTTCTATAGTATTCTTAGCCCTAAAAAATCAAAGGCTAACTCACACTCACATACCCTGAGACTCCCATAACTACTAACAAAATAAGCAAAGTGTTCATACCAAGATGCAAACCTTACCTTGGTAAAATATAATTTCCCTATCAGGAATTATTAAGTCTGACATACTGATAAAAATTCAGTAGAAGCTACTCATTAACACACAAATATACTGATACAGTATGTGTATACCTAAAATTAAGATTCTTCCAATAATTTCATCTGATTAAGAACTTGTTTCTGTTTGTAGATTGCTTTGTTTGTAGACTTTTTTGGTCTTTGATTTACATGTTAACATTAAGATTCCATGAACCTCAGCAACATCACTTCTAATACATGGGATGAATTACCATTCTTCAAGTACCCAGAGAATAGAATAGACGTCTCTACTAATGCCTATTGATCTCAAGTGCTTAATCATATCTGAAGTTTTTGTCTTTAGATATTAGTATTCAATCCTAATTTTAAACTAACTACTTGGGCCATTATTTTGTCGCTGCTGACCTTCAAAAGGCAACAATTTCTATAATGATGGCTCATTTTCTTTATGTGCACACTGTTACCATTCATCATATCCAATTTTACACACATCAGCAAGCTATGCCAAAAAGATGTGCAATGCCCGCAATGAACTCTAAGTGCACATAAACCCGTTAAGTGAAAGTCAGCCAAGGAAGATACATATGCTACATAGTTTTGAACAGCCTCACTTCTATGAACTGGCATCAAAAAACTCCTTCTGAAAAGGAAGGTATTCAAATTCAGCACTTCTAGGTCATTTTCTATATTAAAATATCATCATATCAAAAAACAGATTTGAAATGCAAAAAATCCCTAAATCGCCTCAGAATTACAATATGTTCATAATAAATGAATGTTTTTTTAAAACATATAGAAAAAATTTCCATAAGAGAAAATTTTTAAATCTTCCCTCAGGAAGTTAGATTTTTCTTTTCACTTCCTATTAGCATTCTTCTGCCTAATCAGGCATTCTTATTGTTAGCTTTTACAACCGTAGCTTTTGTATAACCTTTCATGTATATCCACAAAATCAAAATAATTTACTTGGAAAAGCTATATTACTGATCTTAAGTCATTGCAAACTGGATAATAGAAAGTCAAACTGTCCCTCTTTGCAGATGATATGATTAATCTTATATCTAGAAATTTACATCTAGAGACTGATATTTAAAGACTCCACAAAAAACTCTTAGAGCTGATAAAGTTTAGTAAAGTTATAGGATACAAAATCAACATGCAAAAATCTGCAGTGCTTCTATACACTAACAACAAAAAGAGATTTTTTAAAAATACCGTCTACAACGGCTACCAAAAATAAAATTTAAATACCTATGAATAAGTGCAACCAAGGAGGTGAAATATCTCTACATTGAAAATGTGAAAGTTGCAGATACCAGAATAAAATCACTCATCAGACCCTCCCAAAAAAAACTGGAGCAGGAAAGGCACAAAAAAGAAGAGGGCTCACAATTGCATGTCTGAGATAAGAACTGTTTTAAGGACTTTCTAAAATGACCCCACAAGCAATTCCTTCATGTCCTTCACGTATCTCATGCTTTTTACAACCAACCTTCACATATGCACAAATCTCTACAACCAGGTTTATCACTAGACATTCTTTAGAACCTCAGAAGTTCGGATTAGATGCTCTAAAAATGACACTTGCCTAGTAATGGCAACTTCACCAATGAACTGATACCAACTTTGACTTTGAGACTCTGGAACAAATAAACTTTGTTTCTAATTTCTCCCTTTTTGCCAAAGAAAAGCTTCCTCTTTACTCTCCCTTCTTTGGGTACACCTGTGGCTTGTTATAGTTGTACATCCCAGTTTATACTCCTCTTTGCTTACTCACGAATAAATTAATTAATATGAGATATTTTCCTCTGATATCTTTTTTTAGGTTGACAAAACCCAAAAAATATTGATGAAACTGAAGACACAAATAAATAGATATCCCATGTCCATAAATTGAAAGAATCAATATTGCTAAAATGTCCATACTACCCAAAACAATCTACAGATTTAATGCAGTCTATCAAAATTCCAATGTCATTTTTCTCAGAAATAGACAAAATAATGCTAAACTTAATAGGGAACCACAAAAGACCTCAAATAGCCAAAGCAATGTTGAGCAAAAAAGCAAATCTGGAGACAGCATACTACCTGACTTCAAAACATACTACAAAGCTATAGTAATCAAAACAGCATAGTACTGGCATAAAAACAGACACATAGGCCATGGAACAGAACAGAACAGACAGCCCAGAAATAAATGCACATACTGATTTTACAAAGGTGCCAAGAATGCATAATGGCGAAAGTAAGGTCTCTCCGAAAAATGGTGTTAGGCAAAGTGGAAATCCACATTCAGAAGAATGAAATAGACCCTTATTTTATACCATATACAAAAAACAACTCAAAATAGATTAAAGACTTAAACATAAGACGTGAAACTGTAAAAGTGGTAGAAGAAAATATCGAGGGAAAGATCCATGACATTGGTCTGGACAATGATTCTTTAGATATGAGCCCAGAAGCATAAGCAGCAAAAGCAAAAATAGAAAAATAAGATTACATCAAACTAAAAAGCTTCTACATAGCAAAGAAAAATAATAAACAGTGAATAGACAACCTATGAAATGGTTGAAACCAAATTAGTTCAGTTAATGCACAGATTTCCAAGATTTTAAACTAAAGGCCATTATATATGCTAGTTTCACAACACAAAACAATAATCCTCTAAAAAAGAGATTAGAGTTTATTCTTTAAAAACACATATAATGAGTAAAAAGATTATTAAATCATAAAAAAGTGCATAGACCAAACATTACTTATCCAAAAACTCAGAGGAAAGCATCATAGAGATTCTTTTTTTTATTTTTATTTTTAGAAAGCAGAATTCATTAAGAGGACAGAAAAGCTCCCACAGTGGGAGGGGACCCAAGGAGGTTGACCCAGAGATTCTTTTAGTAACATTTTGAACTCAAATCTCTAAAATATTTAAGCATGTTAAAAGCTATAAAAAACTATAATGGCATTAGATTTTACTGTTTTGCTTTATTAAAACATATATAGAAAATAATTATTCCCAAATGCTTAATTTTAAAATAAAAGTTAAGAGAAAATCCAAGTAAATATGGCACTTTGACATAGTCCTTAAGAAAGTAACAAAGCCGGGCTCGGTGGCTCAGCCTATAATCCCGCACCTTTGGGAGGCTGAGGTAAGTGAATTGCCTGAGTCCACGGGTTTGAGACCCGCCTGGGCAACTTGGCGAGACCTCATCTCTACAATAAATCAAAATGAGCTGGGCGTGGTAGCGCCTGTAGTTCCAGCTACTTGGAAGGCTGAGGCAGAAGGATCGCCGGAGCCCAGCAGGTTGAGGCTGAGGTGGCCGGGAGCGGCCACTGCACTCCAGTCTGGATGA